GAGGTTAAAGGTGGCAACTCAAGAGTGGGGCAATTGCAACATGTAGGATGAAGAAATTATTGCCTTAATGTATGAAGAGTTCTACCAAGTCAACCGAAAACAAAACCCTCGAAGAAATATAGGCAAGGACACTAGACAGGTAATTCACAGAAGCAAAAAACAGATCACAGAAAGCACGTCCACTGGCAGTGAAAAGATGCCACTGGAAGCTGATTCTGGCTCAGAGTTGGTAAAGTGCCTTCTGAAACAGTAACATTCAGTGTTGGGGCTGGGGCCAGGCGTGTGCTCCCAGGACTCAGATCCTGGACGCCCTTTATTCACACAACACGTCCACGTCTAGGAAAGGACCCTTAGGAAGTAGATGGGTGGGGTCCCCTCAAGCGGAAACTGGCACAGGAAGAAGTCTCGGCCTCAGGGCCGTCCAGGGCTGTGCCCCTTAAAACACTGACACTGGGGCCTGTCCTCAGGCCCCTCAGTGTCCGAGCCCTGGAGCCCGCAGGGTGCCCCGCCCCACGGGAAAGGGCCATGTGGCCCTCTTGTGAGACTGGCTTTCGTCTCCACTGTGCACTCTGCCGGGGTGACCGGCCCCCTTGGGGGGCTGCACCCAGACTGTCCAGTCTCCCCGGTGCCTGGGCTGCGGGGGGCTTGGGGCCGAGGGGGCTCACCGTTTAAGCGGGTGATGGTCCAGTTCTTCCGCACGCTGGCCGGGACGAAGGGCAGCTCGAAGACGTAGGGGCCGATGTTGGGGTCGACGTCGGCATCGGCCGCGGTGATGTTGATGGCGTTCAGGCCGGGCTTCTCGCAGATCTGCGCCTCCTTGGGCAGCAGCTCAGGGGCGTTGTCATTGGTGTCAATGAGATAAATCTGGAGGGTCCCGGTGCCACTGGCCGGGGGGACCCCTGAGGGAGGGACATGGCATGATCACTCATGATACGCCACCAGCAAACACGCAAGGCCACGCATCAGACCAGCCCACACCCCCCCCAGGACCCCCCCCAGGACCCTACCCAGGACAGACCACAGCCCACCCAGGACCCCACCCAGGACAGACCACAGCTCCAAACACACACCGACACTCTCTCTTAGAACGTGTGCAGCCACTCAGCTGCACACAACATATGAACAGACGTCACCAGGGCACAGACTGCAGACGTGTGGCCACATCCAGACCCACAGCCACACACATGTCCACACACATGCACACATGTGCACACAGCACACACGCAGAGCACAAGTGATGGGCAAGAGTTGCGCCATTAAGCTCAGAGCCACACTCAGGACCCCGTCCCCTCTGGGAGCCTGGGCAGGGGGGGGGGCTTCCGGGAGGGTGGGCCATGGAGCTGGCGCCTGCTTCTCCATCCTTGTAGGGAAAAACCTTGGCCTGGCTCATGTTTTCCTGGCCCCGCCCAGCAGGGACCCTCACGGCCAGAAGCCCTGTGCTCGGATACTTAGAACCAAAACGGCCACTTCTGGAGCTAGTTTGGAGGCAGGGGGAGGCTCTCAAGATGAGTTTCGGGTTGGGGGCCCCCCACCACAGCAGGCTGGTCTCGAAGTGGCCCTCCACGGTGCCGGCCTTGGTGTAGACCCAGGTGACCTGCTGAGCCCTGACAGCTCTCGGGGCCGCCACTGTCCCCGAGCCTCCCCTGCACCCAACCCCTGCCTCCGCCAGGCTGACGGTGGGGATGGATGGGGGCCGGGAGGCTGGAGATGCCCTTGCTGTCCTCCATGTTCTGACCGTGGCTCTGCCTTCTGATGGCAACTCTGACCCCGACGTCCATGACCGCGTTTTTGGTGGCGGCAGGGGGAGCGTGTAAAGCATGCAGCCTGCAGCACGTCTCTGTATCTTCCAGAAAACGCAGCAAAACACATCTCAGGTGGTGCAGCTCGGTGCCTCCTTTGCTAACTGCTTTGCTAAGTGGATGATGACGCAGCCCACAGTCAGGAGGAGCACAGGCAAGTTCTGTTAACCGGTGGGGCCTGTGCTGCGTTCCCCGCCTCTTCCGCACTTCCCACCGCTCCGTCACAGGCTCGTTTAAAATCTCGACCTAAGCTAGTCTCACTGCTCTGGCCACTGGGAGGAGAGGATGCCTGGGATCGCAGCCTTCCCCGTCAGAGCCTGGCACTCCTGGTGGCCCGCCAGGGGGCTGGGCCTTTGTGGACCCCATGGGGCAGGGGGGGGAAGGAGGCTGCCCTGAAGGTCTCCGGGGCCTACTTTCATTGCTGTTGACGGAACCTCGGTGCAGCTCTAGGCCTTGAGACCTCAGTTGTGCAGCTGTTCCCAGAACCCGCCTGGCATGGGCTTGCCCCGGGGCCTTTGCACGTGCACTTTCCTAATCCTGGGACTCCCCGCCCCATCCCATCTTTCCCTGGTTTGTTGTCTTGGCCCCACAGTCACTCATAGCCAGGAGCACAGCTGTGGCCCTGGTCACTCTCCCATCCCCCATTCTGTTTTCTTCCATTTGTCGTTTCCTGAAATGATCTGGCGAACTTGTTTCTCATCCGTCTCCCTGGGGCAGAGACTGCTAAGTCCCTCAATCTCCATTTCTTCTTTGTTCTTTAATAAAAGACCCAGAGCCGCCAATCCGATCTGGGGTTATCACTGCCCAGCGAGAAGACTGCATTTCTCAGCATCCCTTGTAGCCAGGTGTTTTCATGACTGAGTTCTGGCCTTCATGAGTTGTGAGTGGAAGTCCTTAGAAGGGCTGGGGTATGCCCTTGACCTCCCTGCTCTGTTTGCCAGAATGTGGTCCTGATGGCTGGAGCACTGGCAGCCATTCTGGGCCATGCTACAGCTTGCCGAGGACACGGGGGTGGCCAGAGTGAGCCTGGTTGCTTGTGCCTGACCCAGGGCTGCCGGCCTTCAGCCTTCTTTTATTTGGGAGAAAATAAACCTCCGTCTTGTTGTGATTATGATTATTATGATGCAGCCAAACCTGGTTCTAGCTGACACACTGGCCTCTGGAATGTCAACCATGATTTTGTCTGTTTTGCTCACTGATGAATTGTGGCTGGCACATGGCAGGAGCCCAGGAGGTCACAGCAGGAATGCCGGTGCTGACTTGAGCCAGGCCCTGTTCCTCCAGCGGCACCCCCGAGCAGAGGTAGTGGCTGTCCCCATTTTGCAGAGGAGGAAACCGAGGCTTGGGGAGTTAAGTCTCTTCCCACACTGAGGGGAGGTGCTGGGACTCACCTCTGGTTTGAGTCTTCACTCCCACCCACGCCCTCCCTTCCTTTTTCAGAGTGGGCTGGACACCCTGCCAGCTAGGGCCCCCATGGGCTCCCGAGTGCCCTCGGTCCAAGGAGGGGGCACCAAGAGTCCCCGTACCAGCTCCTGGAGATGCTACCCATGTCCCTCAGAAGGCCCAGTGCTCTTGGACGTTCTTTCTGCTCCCTGCTGGTCTCCTGGCCACTGCCTCTGCCCAGCCCCCATTCACCCATGCCCAGCCCCTCTCCCCACCCCAGGCCCCTCTGTCTGGCTCAGGGGCCTCGCCATTGCCCTCTCTGAGCTCCCAAGGCACGTGCCACCGGTGTGGCTTCTCATGGATGCCCACCCTGCCTCTGGGCCCCTCTTGGGGACCCCTCGCCCCCTTCTCTGA